AGGGCCGTCCCATAAGATGCTGAAAGCCACTGCGATGTGGCCACCGGGTGAGACTGATTCGTCTCGGCGGCTATTCTCTCCCCCACGCCCTCCCCAACTCAGAGGCCAAGCCATAAGTATTTCAAGTGTCATTTATGCATTAAGTTAGAACTGACATTAGCTACATGTGGGGGCGTTCTCTTTATAACAGACAGCTCTGAAAAACAGCCAATGAAGAAAGGCAGGACTTGGATTTATGTCCTGAGCTGCTGCTGATCCTGTTTCCCACTTGCAGACATCTGCTCTGTTCTCATCTCACAGAGAAGATAGCTGTCAGGTCTCCGCACCCTGGATTTCTGAAGAAAGGTCCTGGACATATCAGCCAGGTTCCTGTTCATAAACAGCTGTTGTGCAACACATTTTGGCACGGCTGCTTAATTCTTAACAAAAAGATAAATTTGACCAACTGAAAAAACAACATTAAAAATTACCCTTCCCAAAATAAACACATGCAAGAATGCCAGAACGGCAAGCTCTTCCTCATCACGTAACTATTCGGACAGCTGCTACCGTTTGTTCGAATCTACGCTTGAGAATTAAGAACTGGTAATTCTGGGCCCGCCCTAGTGGTGCAGCGGGTTAGGACACAGCCCTGCAGGCTGGCAGCAGCTGCTTCAGTGAGAGTTCGATTCCCACCCTGGAGCTGACCCCCAGGGCACCGCAGACCTCTCCTGACTTGCCCGCTGCTCCCCTCAGCACTGTACTTCATCGATCTGCCTGTCCAGCTCCCCACTCTGTCTTTGGGGAATCCTCTCTCCCTCTGCACCCCTGGCCTGTACCCCAGTTCTGTATGAATAAATAAATAAATCTTCTAAAAAAATGATATTACTTCTTCAGTGTTTTTTCTTCTCTAACCCTTGAGATACTGGGGATTATCATCTGTGAAAATGGACCTAGTGTATTTTAATCTACAAAGTACTTTAGTTCAAAAGTGAGCTGAAGCTTGCTTGCTTCTTTTTCATTTCCTTCTTTTAGCATATAACTTTCCCTCTTTCGGCATGTCTGTTAACTTAGCAGTCTTCGACAAAATAATGCCAGCTATCAGCAGTAAGTGCCCCCGTTTCCTCTTTAAATAAAAAGTATGTGATCATAAATCTACTGACTCTCCCATTCTACTTGTAATCTGTAAGGTCACAAAAAATCATCAGTTAACTTCTAAGCAAAGCTAAAAGCAAGATGTGAGTAGGAAATTGAACTTAAAATAACTTAAGAGCGGCCCTCCCTGGTGGCGCAGCGGGTTAAAGCACAGCACTGAGAATCTGAAGCCACTTCC